GAAGAAACGAAGAAGGAGGGAATTATCAATCACAGAAAGTTGTCGTTGGCGTTTTAGGCGTTGGACAGAGTTGGTCCGACGTGGAACGGGTCGGCGATTTTTGAAAATTTCCGCACACGTTAGAGGTAAAGGCCTGGCAAGCATAGTCAAAGAGGAGAGCGCTGATAGTCCGAAAAATCTGAAGGAGTCCAATCGAGGCCTCATACCTGAACGGTGAGGAAACATCACCGCAAGAGGTACAGGAGCATGAGGAGTGTCTGAAGAGTGGTCCAAATGACGAAGCGGGGTCAGAACGGGGTGCGGTAATCAAGAAGGGGCCCAGGGTAGGAGGTTCATGGACTACGGCTTCCATGGTTAGTGTTACTTCTTTCTATTTGTTGTTTAAAGAAAAAAAAAGAAAGAATAAAAGAAAAATAAAAATAAAAAAAGAATAAAAACAAAGGGGGCCGGGAGGGATAGTTCCTAGGAGGAATGAAAGGCCAGAAATCTCACCCTCCGCGCCCCAGAGGACCTCAGCACCGCAGTAGCGCAGTATGCAGCATGGAACCCGTTCCATAATACCCTACCCATCATGCTAGTAATACTAACAATCCGGAGGATATCAACCTCAACATCTGCCGAGCTACCTCGGTGGACAAAAGATAGGCGCCGGATTCCGCCACATCAGCAAACCTCCTTACGGCCACCACCCCCGAATCCGAAAGGCTGGCTTCCAGAGATACACCCGGCGCCCAAAAGACACCACAAAAGCTACTCCGGATACTCGGAGAGGGATTGGGACAAATCCCCAGGCGATCCAGATTCCCACACGGCAAAACCTATGCCACCACGCAAGCACCTCAACGAATGGGATGACCCCCGTAGTCCTTTACCCCTACCTAGGAACAAGCGCGCCTGTGGGAGGAAATCCCAAAGGTTTGCCGAAAAGAGAAGGGCAAAAGGGAGGGGTGGGTGAGGAGGAGGAGAAAAGGAAAAAGGGGAGGATTGGGAGGATGGGATAGGGGAGGGGAGATTGGGGGGAGGAGGGGTATTATTAGGTTCGGTCTGAGGAGAAGACCGACAGGTCTAATTACCGCATTTCTGTAAAAGAGATAGGAAATTTAGTGTGTGGCACTTCCTCCCCGGACTGGGATTGATGATAATAGTCAACAGGTTGGATAATATTATTTCAGGTCATGGAATAGCTATCATCTTAGTGCTGGTGGAAATGATTATCGGGAAGCAGTGTCAGATTATGTTGTGGGGCGGCCGGGGCCCAGGCCCAGTTTGAGGTGGGAGGCCCCTTTGCATTGGTAAAGGATCTAACTAGTGGATTAGAATGACTTTTTAACGTTTAAACATGGAAAAAACTTATACGCCACTCTCAATATTACGACCATCCTCTTAAAATTAAGAATGAACAATAATTGGATTTATAGTGTATTTTAGCACCCTATCGGTTCATTTGCAGTGAAACTCAAATAAATGTACAGACTATGATGAGGAGTTTTTAATCTTCTCAACAGATAAAATATTGTAAAGCCATGATAACATTTCTTCCAGAGTCATTTTTCTATGAAAATCCTCTTGATGACACTTCACATCAAAATCCGATGAGGCACAGGATTCAGATTCTAAATTTCTCATGACCATCAGTGCACAAGCTGCCCATCCATTTGCTCGATTCGTTAGCCCAGTTCTCACTACCACACTGTTGGTACACATACAGACAACAAGATCGAGCAGTCTTCAATACTGCAGCGCCCTGCAGCACCCAGGATGAGATGTGCTGTGAGATCAACCTCTTGCATCAGCAACTGATGACGCAACTAGCACGCAATGATGCAACACCACATCAAGATGACAAACATGACAATCCGGCACCACAATTCAAACTCTCGACTTTACATTTTTCCACCATCTATTTTTTTTATTTTTGTTGTTGATCTAAACAATACTATTTCAATTACAATTATATTATTCATCATTTGGTTTGGGTCCCCTTTTGGTGTGGTACCAGTGCCCCTCCCCTAAATTTGGCCCTGTCAGGAAAGGGCCATGGGAGACAATAAAGCTGGCTGGATAATTTACAATCAAACTTCCATCAGATGTATAAGTTCTAAGGAAAGGGAGTCCCAATCATCGTTTAGGCATCTTGCCTAGAAGGTGAGCATGCAATGAAACGGTGTTTAGGGCAATTCTTTAATTTCTGGCTATGTACTGCAAGGAATTTGAAAATCCCATTCATTGATAACTAGGGGCAATATTTAATGGCAAACGGGATATTAATGCCAGGGGAATGGGTACATCACCTCCAGGGCCCAGAGTTAAGTTGCATTACGACCAAGCGCTTGATTGATGCTCATTGCTGACATGTCTATACGGTAAATAGAAAGATTAACAGTCAGGTATGGGTGTGTGAGTAAAACAATCAATCTGCTACAAGGGCTGAGAACAGCAGATATAACCGGGATACCTCAGAGATAGTTTAATATAAATATTCAAAAATAAAGTTGCTAGTAAAAAGGCAAAGCACTTATCACAACAAAGAGATAGTAGAGGACAGAAGAGTGACTAGTTCCCTTAAACTTACTTACAATCATAGGAGTCCTAAGAACTAAGATAGATGAGCTAATATTACTTCTGCGACTATGCAGGTAATATGACATATCTATTGCTATAACAGAGACCTTGTTCAACAACTTTGGAAAAGACAGAGAAATGACTTCCTATATGCCACATACTAGGCTATAAATCTATTCCAACCAACTGACAGTTTCAACGAGAAGGGTGGAAGAGTGGGCCTATAGTTTTCCTCAAGGGCCCTGGCAAATAAATAACTGGGTGTGATTATTAAGTGCCTCCCAAATCTTGATAGCAAGAACATGGAGCTGCTATGGATGAAATTTCCAATAAGGCGGTTTATTATATGAAAATGTCCAGGTTAATAGTAGAGAATATAACTTAAGACAAATTGATTGGAAAAAAGTATGACATGAAATTTATGATTCTCTTGACCTATTGTGAGATATGAATCAGGATTGGCGTTTATAAAACAGTCCTGTGACACGAAACCAACTACAGGAAACAATTGTTCTCCTATGACTGGTGGGTCTCAAGTGCTTTCCACAGACGAAAGATGCTGCTAATATTTATAGGAACCGATATTTACAATAAATGCAGTAAGTCCTGCAAAACAGCTATATCTATTTTCTGAGTTGAATAAAAAACAAAAAGAAAGCAAATTTAACATAAGAGGTGCCTAGGAGAAGGTGACCTAATGAACAAGAAAATGTAATTTTGGATGCTAGGTAAAGTTTGCATATTGTTTAATTCATACCCTTTTTTGAAACAGGCGCTCTAGAATTTTTTGTATGAAATTTGTGACCAAATTTAACCCAATTTACCTGATCAATTTTATTAGGTAACCTGAAATAGATAAAGTTGGCATGTTTCCTTCCTTTGTACTCAATTATATAACAAATAGGCGTACTAAGCAAAATAACAAAGAGTCAGGTCAACTGAAATACTGACAAAATGACCGGAAAATAGGGGTCGAACAAGTGGAAGAAATTCAGCCGATGCATAACTAATTCCGAGACCACAAACTATGGCGATAACATAGTATCTTTAAGTTTTCCATCAAATCGAGTACTTTTTTGGTTTCATTACTCATTGGAAAAATTTTCTCCTATCATTTCATGAGGAAACAAAAGAAGAAGAAAATTTTAAAAATTCTCGACACTGAGAGCAAGTTTGCAACATAGTAGTCTCAATTGTGAAAGGTTTAATAGATACAGCCTCTCCTCAGCTTAGCCTAGTTATCGTATTTACCATTTGAACTCAGAAATACAATGATCTCTCTGACCAGTATACATCCCTAAGTAAACTTGTTATAAGATAGCTGAATTCCTCTATCTTGTTTATTTAATATACAGTACACTGTCTGTTAAAAAAAACAATTACAAATACATATGACCCCTCAAAACGATCAACTCGAATGCGACCAAATAAGTAATGTATTATTAATTAAGTATCGTACTTGTACGTGATGTTTTGGTTCTGGAATTGGCCTAATCAGCTGTCAGAATATCCCTTAATGGAACAAATTCGGCAGTACAGGCACCTGAACATACTTCTGATAGAAAAAATATCGTAACTGGGTGAGGTCCACGTACACCAGAAATGCTATAAATGGTGCAAAGGTGACATTAAACAACATATCGCGCGAGATAGAGCTGACACAAACCCACTAACCATTATATTACAGCTCCTCACTTAACGATGAACTCATTTACAGATGTGATGCTTAGATACGGAACCCCGTCGTAAAGTATGAGGAGAGCTTGTACTTAAAATAAATTTATATTACAATAGAAAGGAATATAAAAACATTATCATTTCTCTTGTCATTTTCAACAAAAAAAATCAGTCGTAGGAAAGGGATGCTCGATGAATCTTGATCATAGTAGTAACTATTAACATCACCCAACAACACAGTACTGGGGGGGTTAAAACTGCATGGCAACCGAGTCGTAAAACGCCAGACCATCAGAATAAGGCCAGCATGGGCACATTGGAGCTACAATGCATAATATTCCATCCAACTAAGTATATTATATACACTATAAACGTTATCATAAGCCTCATACTATACTCATCAAAGCAAAAGTCCCCCTGCAGTCATGCTTGGGCGGGAAGATTCATCAGTAAAAAACTTGAAATTGTGGTCAAGTGGATGTTCCCACATTAACCCTCCCTATAGTGTATAAATATACCTAGTTGGATGATTCATTATTGTAGCCAGCTGCAGTGTGAATCATGCACTGGCCTAAGTTTTACAACTTCACTTTCCCAATCGTTCTAACTCCACCCACACCAATGGTTTGTTTGCAAACTGTGGTTTTTGATTTTGTGAGTCCATAAACAACAACAAATACTCTTATACACCCTAGTTATTTAACAAAATACAAGTGTACCAACCAACTGTACTGCAGCAAATACAGAGCCTGCTCCTCAGTTAACAATGGGATTCATGTTCCTAAGAGGAGATCAGTAAGCAAATTGGTCTTTAAGTGAGGAACCTACTATACTGGTAGGGGGTTTGTGTCAACCATCTTTAGATATTATTTTAATGTTACTTTTGCACCATTTATAAGATTTCTGGTATATTTTTAAATGCTTATACAATAGTGTACTGTATACAGCCTCTCCTCACTTAGCAACATACTCGTGTACCGACGACTCGGACTCTCAACAGGCTCTCTGACCAGTATGCATACCTAAATAATGTATGTATATTAGACCTGATTTCCTCTATTTTGTTTATTACAATATACAGTACATTACTGTATAAACATTTAAAAATATTGCTGAAATGTTATAAATGGTGCAAAGGTAACATTACAATACCAAAGATGGTTGACACAACCCACTACCATTATAGTATGCTCCTCACTTAACAATGAATCATTTACCAGCGTGGTCTCAGGAATGGAACTTTGTTGATAAGTGAGGAGAGACTGTATTGTAATAAACAGAATAGAGGAAATCAGCTCCAATACACATTATTTAGGTTTGGATGTTGGTTGGAGAGCCTTTCATAAGTCTGAGTGGTCAGTAAACGAGTACATCACTAAGTGAGGAGAGGCTGTATACATAAGTAGGTACTACAGTAGACCATCGATTACCATGGTAGTTATGTTCCTGAAAATGAACTGAAGAACTTATCAGAAAAATAGGGTTACATTTCTGTTACCCCCCAAAAAGCCAAACTTTTTTTTTACATCTCCAAATCTTACAAAAAATATAAATGATAATGCAATTGTTGCTCATTGTCATTATCCATTAGGTGTTTTATATTGCTTAAGGCTACACATACAACAGAAATAATATTTCTTACCTTAAATTGTGGTTGCTGGTGTTTGTTGATGATTGTGAGGGGAGTGGAAAGGAATGCTGTGTCCCTACTGGGCTGAGGTGGATGGTTGTTGATTGTTGGTTGAGGTGGATGGTAGTGAAGTCGTAGTACAGTCACTCAAATCAGTACAGTCAGTCAAGTCAGAACAATCAGTCAAGTCAGTCAGTCAGTTTATTTAGGTAAACACAGATACAAATATAGTTACATATATTATCATACATAGCAGAATATGTAAACACTGCATCTATTTACTAGTATATAGGAATCAGCTAAGTTAATCAAGGACAGATCTGAGAATCATAATAATAGGACATGTATGTACAGACCAGAGAGAGGTGGGAAGTAGGAGGCAGGGAAGGAAGCTAAGCCTTCCCAACAAAGACAATAGGCTGACCCACAGGCAGGCTGCCCATGAGTCTACTAGATATAGGGTAAAAATCCAGTAGTCCAGCTCTCCAAATTTTTTCCCCAGAAGTGGCACCATTTTAGTTAAATTTTACGGAGTGTCAGTGAAAAATATGCCACAATTTTGTAATAGCGTAATGAAAACGTGGTATAGGAACTCGTGTTAATCAATGGTCCACTGTATATGCCGTTACATTCACGTTCCTTTCATTTTTTAACCTTTATTATGAAAAGGAAGTAGAGAGCATATAAACACTAGTGGGAGTCCCTCTCATGGACAGGTGCAGTTTGTGTCTGTCCTCTCAATTTGCATATAAACATTGTCTCCAGCATGCTTATATTTTTATATTTTATGTCTAAGAATCTGTATTGATAAAGCCACTGGGTGAAACGTCTACAATAAAGATAACCAGATGTTGCACAAGTGTCTTAACTTTCATCTTCATTTTTAGCATACATGATGCAAATATGAAAACACTGCATGTATTTACTTATATGCACGATTCACTCAATTTAATCACATTTGTTAGTTTTCTCGAGACCCTGGTGGTGAGAAACAATATATAAATAAGCAGTGTATACTATGATGGCTCAGAACTTCAAGCATTTATAGTTGCAGTGCCACAAAATTATCCCTTCACTTTTTCTTTATATTCCACACTATAATATAAATCACTAACACATTCAAAATTTGTGTAAATACAGCTAGGATATTGGATGACTTAATGGCACAGTAATGTGCAGTTAGTGAAAGCAGTTACTAGCCTTCTCATACAGGCTTTTACCTATTTTTTCCCCCAAAGTTGCACCGCACTAAACAAATTTCACAGCATGTTCATTAAAAATGATGCAGTTTTGCAAAAGCCTATTATCGAAAGCATGTTAGAGGATTGCATGTTAATCAATGGTCTACTGTACATACTACCATAACAACATACTGGAGTGAGATATGGGAGGAAACACAAAATAAACCAAGTGAAAAGCAGGGGTGCAATGTGCACAATAGAGAAATACTTCATCAACATCCATGGCCCCAGACTGTTCAATATCTTATCATATCAGAAACACTGCTGGAGCAAGTGTAAAAGTCTTCAAGAGGAAGCTGGACAAGCATCCTCACCAGGTGCCAGATCAACTAGGCTGTGATGGATACGTGGGTCAGCAGACCACCACCAGCAACAGCCTGGCTCACCAGGCAAACACCAGAAGAGCCGGGTCCATGGCCAGGTTCTAAGAGTGGAAAAACTCTCAGAACTCATCAAAAGCAAAGGTCTTTCATGTGTTCCTTTCATTCTATTTGATGATCCTCTTGAGTTATGAATACAGTGTCCCTTTTGAGTTCTTCATTCTTTCCATAACTAAGCAGCTGGAACTTATCACCACTGAATATCATGTTTTCTACTGCCCACCAGAAAACACTGCTTATATCTTCCTGTAATTTTTCAGTGTCATCTACCGTAGTGACTTTCATGCTTATATTTGTGTCAACTACAAATGATGATACAAAATTGTTTCTGGTGTTTTTATCTGTCTGCTATGAGGATAAGAAACAGTAGAGGTGCCAGGACAGTGCCTTGGGACACTGAGCTTTTTACTTCGGTGATGGTGGATTTTGCAGTTTACTACTACTTTTTGTGTTGTGTGTGTTAGGAACTTGAAAATCCATCTGTCTACCTTCCCCATTAGGCCTATGGCCCTTATTTTGTGTGCCATCACCCAGTGATCACATCTGTCAAACACTTTTGTTTTGGTTTTCTTTCAATGACTCCATAATTCTGTCACAGTGGTTCAGCACTTACGACAACATGAATGTTCACTTCTACAACTGTGCTGGTTTGGGCTACGCTGCGTGTGATGTTCCATGAAATTTGCAATTTGACATTTCATCATTCTTTCAAAGATTTTTATGATACAAGATGTTAGGCCTGCTGGTCTGTAATTCTTAGCTAGTGCTCTAGTACCTCCCTTATACAGCTTTTAAGGTCTCTAGTATTTCACCTAGATCTAGGTTGTTTCTCCAAATAATACTAACGTCTTGTGCTAGTGGTACTTTACACTTTTTTATAAATAAAGAATTCCATAAATCTGGTCCAAGTGCTGAGTGAGTGGCTATGTTTTCAATTTCTGTTTTCAAATTCTATGGGATTAGTACTAGTACTAATGTCAGTTAGTTGGTCTGCACAGTCTTCAGACTGAAAACGTTTCTGCATTCTCTACCACACTGTCATTTAGTGGGTTGCTGAACAATGGCTCCATACTGTCCTTACAGAAATTTCTGATTTCCAGTTCATCATCAGTATGAGTCTCCTCTCATTAATGGTCCAATTCTATATGTAGCTCTTAGCTTGGATTTTACATATAAATAAAAATGCTTGGAGTTTCTTGCAATATCCTGGATGATCTTTTATCCCTTTATGCTTCTTCTGTTTGGTACGAGAGTCTCGGCTAAGACTCTTTTAAGCTGTGAGATTCTCAAGCAATTCAGTAAACCGTTTTCTTCTTTTATACCATCTCCTATGCTCTCTTTCTATATCTGATCTTCTGGGTTTCCTCAGTGGTACATATTTAATACAGACATTGCATGCTTGTGTGTTCAGCTTCTCCAGGCACTGTGAGGATTTAAGGTGCTCATGACTGTTTCCCAGGATATGTTTTTAGTTAATTTGTCCCACTTAGTTCTATGGTTCTTGAAGTTAAACTTACTGAACATCCCCAACCCTAAGTTTCTAGTTATTTGTACTTCTATGATGCTATGGTCAGAGTATATTGTTCTTGCAATTGTTATGTCTCCAATTAGCAACTCATTACTTGGGAATTTCAAATCCAGAGTATTTTCATTTCTAGCAGAATCAGTTATCTGTTGGTTCAATGCAAACTTTTCACAAATTAATTATTATTAGTTCCCTGGTATGTAGCTGTTGAGGCAGGGTGCTTCTAGGAGCTATTTTTGGTATAATGTTGTGTTGAGCCATTTTTCCACTTTACATTTGGGAGATTGAAATCTTTAGGGAGGATAATATTTGGTGTGGGAATTTCCAGCCTTTCAGGATAGTTATCTATCCTTGTCTGATCTGTAAATTCCTCAGCCGCTGGTGATGGCAGTTTATATACTAGGATAATTACCATTATTATTTTTTTCTACTTTAATACCTAGAACTTCTACTGTATCATTCAATGAATTCAGCAGTTCTGTGTAACAAAAAGTTCCCTTCACATGAAGTCCTACTCTTCCTTTGACTTATTAACTGTCACATCTATACACATTATAGTTTTTTATTGTTAAATCACTGTCCAAAACATTCCTTGTGTGTTATTGTAATACTCCAAACATTGCATTTGCTTCTGTGAGCAGCCAACAAATATAACCAACTTGGTCATTTTTATTTGATTTCAAACCCAGAATGTTTGCAAAAAGGAATTAGGATTTATAATTTGAGATGTTTTTGCTGCAACAATTCACAAAAAGTCACAATACCCTGGCTGCAACAATTCACAAAAAGTCACAATACCTTGGCTGCAACAATTCACAATAAGTCACAATACCTTGGCTGCAACAATTCACAATAAGTCACAATACCTTGGCTGCAACAATTCACAAAAAGTCCCAATACCTTGGCTGCAACAATTCACAATAAGTCACAATACCTTGGCTGCAACAATTCACAATAAGTCACAATACCTTGGCTGCAACAATTCACAATAAGTCACAATACCTTGGCTGCAACAATTCACAATAAGTCACAATACCTTGGCTGCAACAATTCACAATAAGTCACAATACCTTGGCTGCAACAATTAACAATATGCCTGCATTTAGGGTTACATCAAGACAATTGGTCTCTCCTGTAGCATTAACAAATCATACATCAAACTGTCTTCATAAATTTCATTACAGTGTAATACCGACTTATATCCTCAATAAGTTCCTCGTAGACAACACAACAACAATATTCATCGACTAAGCAGAAAAAAAAAATTCAGAATATAAAAGAAAAACAATTTCTTTTATGAATTCAAAAGTCATAGAAGAAATAACAGTGACAACAATAATACACAAACTGGACCACGTCTGGCTCTGTACAGAGCTTTACCATGATGTGCTACTCTACACACAGCTCTGTGTACAGCTTTATAATGATGTGTTGATACTCTACACACAGTTCTGCATAGAGCTTTATCATGTATTGATATTCTACACAGAGCTGCTCTGTGCAGAGCTTTATCATGATGTGTTGATGCTCTACACACAACTCTGTGTACAGCTTTATCAAGATGTGATAATACTCTACATAGAGCTCTGTATACAGCTTTATCAAGACATAAGGCTCTACACAGAGCTCTGTATAGAGCTTTAGATGACTTGTTGCAATAGAGGTTGCAGAAAAAGCCGTGTGATCACTGTTATACTCGAGAGAAATTATGTGCAACTTTCACTGCCAGATGGAGACACTGTTTTCAATATATTTGTTACTGTGACACACATCACTGTTGACCAAGTGACTGTACCACCATTAAGACTATTGTTGTCATTATCAGTGCTATTATCAGTCACAGATGCTAAACTGGTACAGTCTAGAACTGTGACTGTCAGAAATGCCAGGCTAGTAGTCGAGGACTGAGAGATTGACAGTTTACAAAAGGCTGGTAATCTAGGACTGTGATTGTCAAAGATGCCAGGCTGGTAATTGAAGACTGTGACTGTCAGTAATGCCAGGATGGTAGTTGAGTACTGAGAGACTGTCAGTGATGCTAGGATGGTAGATGGACAATGAGACTATCAGTGATACTAGGCTGGGAGTCGAGGACTGTGCGACTGACGACTGATGCTTCTCTTGCGCACATGTTGACACTCGTGGTTGTCATTATCATGAGGCTTGCGACTCCTGCGTGTGGGGGGTCGAGACAGTTGTGGTGGAGGTGGAGGGGGTCAAATAACAACCGCACCAGCCTCGGAGCGACTCTCTGGCAGTGATGTACAATCCAGCCAACGGTTAGTATTAGGGTCAAAATATTCTACGTGAGAAATAGTTACCTGCAAAGAAAAATGTTTAATAATAATATCAATAAGAAAAATAACTTAGGATTTTATAATTCTTGAGTGCCTGTTCTTTTGAGAGCTTGAAAAGTGTTCCCAATTTAAACCATACATACAACAACACCCACTCCAAAGATGACAGTAAAGCAATAAATAAAGAATTATAGACTGATAGCCTGAGTGTCCCACATCACAAAAATTTTTGAAAGGGGTTCTAAGAAGCAAGATTGCCAACCACTTGGATACCCAACAATTCCACAATACCCAAATGTACTGTGTCAGGGTAGTGAACAATCCTTGAAGCAATTTACAATTTGCCCTGAGCCACATAAGTGTGGGGAGAGCCACAATTTTATAAGTGAACTAGAAAGTGATACTTGGTGGCGCATTCAGAGTGGGCAGCCTAGTGTGCTTCAGGCGACGTTGCCACGTGTCACCCAAGAAAGATAATAAAAAAAAATAAATGTGTGACCAGTGAAAGAAATACAGTGAACAGGGTACATTATATATCAAGAAGAAACAAAGCTGGATCTATGCCAGGACGTCACATCGAGCTGGACAATCTACAGGCTGCTAAAGGCTGCATTGCAAGTATTCACCTATGTGTGGTTGTTGGGTGTGAGTTTGGGTTTCCAATTAACTGCCAAGCTGATTGTGAATGGTACAACTCTCCTAGTATGATAAAGAATAGGCTATCAAGTACTCAATAAGGAATAGCAATTGGTAATTTACAGAACAAGGTGAGACGGGATTCTGTTAGACTAGGTGGAAGTAAAAGCATAGAGAATGCAAAATAGTAGGTAGGTGTGGGTCAGGTCACAGGAGGGTGTGGGGTAAGCCAGCTAAGGAAGCACTGCAAACTCCGCATACACACTCATACACCACAACACACAATTCCATCTACTTTTCAGACACTTAATAAACCCACATATAGTTCCACACACACACACACACTTTCTTCAATCACGGTATGAAGAGGTATGATAAAGCTCACGGAGCGAGAAGAGTGACCGGGTAGCAGCCAGGTGAAGAGGCAGGGCCAGGAGCTATGACTCGACCCCCGCAACTACAACTAGGTGAGTACAACTAGGTGAGTACACACACACACACGTTTACACACATATTCTCACATATACAGACTCACACACACTCTCCCCCCTGCATCCTAATCCCACCTATCTCCCACTCCTTCCTTTGATCCCCCCCTCTCTCTCTCTCACCCAATTCTCCCCCTCCTCTCCTCCTTTTCCCCTCTCCCTCTCCCATTCTCCCCCTTTGCTTCTCCCTCCCCCTCACTCTCCATATTTCCCCCTCAATCTCCCTCCCCACCCCTCTCCCATTTAGCCACTTTCTCCGCTTCCTCCCTTACCTTCCCCGCCCCTCCACACTCGGACAAGCATGCCACAAAACAAACACACAGAATTACATGTTTTTCATTCTGTGGCAACCAAAACAAAAAAATAAAAATGGGTTGCCAGAGAGCAGGAAGGAAAACCAGGGAACTGGAGGATGAGTCTGCAAAGGAAAACTGGACAGCAGAGCTCATGAAAAGGGAACATGAGTGGGGAAAGAAGCTAGAACAACTTAGCATGAGAATAGAAGAGAGGAAGATGCAGAAAGCAAGAAGTGAGAGCTGCAAGTCACAGCAGCAGAGGCTAGGATAGAGAGATTAGAAAAGGTACTGAAAAATCTGAAACAACTTACCTTTGATATACCTTTGAAGAGTTTTGAGAGTTTATCTACTCTCTGAGCCCGGCCATGGGCCGGGTGCTTGCCTGGTCAACCAGGCTGTTGCTGCTGCAGGCCCACTGCCCCACATATCCATCACAGCCTGGCTGATCTGGCACCTGGTGAAGATACTTGTCCAGTTTCCTCTTGAAGGCTTCAACACTTGTTCCAGCCATGTTTCTGATATCTTCTGGTAAGATATTGAATAGTCTGGGACCCCGGATGTTGATACAGTGTTCCCTTATTGTCCCCATTGCACCCCTGCTCTTCACTGGGTTTATTTTACACTTCCTCCCATATCTCTCACTCCAGTATGTTGTTATGGCAGTGTGCAGATTTGGGACCAGGCCCTCGAGTATTTTCCAGGTATAATTATCATGTATCTCTCTCTCCTCCGCTCTAATGAGTACATGTTCAAGCCTTGCAGGCGTTCCCAGTAGTTTAGGTGCTTTACAGGCTCAATGCGAGTTGTAAACGATCTCTGTATTTGTTCCAGCTCCAATATTTCTCCTGCTTTGAATGGGGCCATCAGTACTGAGCAATATTCTAAGTGAGGGAGCACTAGCAATTTGAAGAGTGTCACCATCGGCATTATTTCCCTTGTTTTGAAAGTTCTCAATACCCACCCTGTCATCTTCCTGGCTGTTGTCATCTTTGTCTTGTTATGGTCTTTAAAAGAAAGGTCCACTGACATAATTATTCCTAGGTCTTTTACGTGTTCCTTACATTCTATTTGGTGACCCACTTGAGTTTTGTATATAGTGTTCCTTTTAAGTTCTTCATTTTTTATATACCTAAGCAGCTGGAACTTATCAACACTGAACGTCATGTTGTTCTCCACTGCCCACTGGAAAACCCTGTTTATGTCTTCCTGTACTTTTTCAGTGTCCTCTACCGTAATGACTTTCATGCTTATTTTAGTGTCATCTGCAAATGATGATACAAAAGTGTGCCGGGTGTTTTTGTCTATGTCTGCTATGAGGATGAGAAACAGCAGAGGTCCCAGGACAGTGCCTTGGGGCACTGAGCTTTTGACCTCACTGATGCTGGATCTTGCCCTGTTCACTACTACTTTTTGTGTTCTCTGTGTTAGGAAACCAAAAATCCATCTGCCTACCTTCCCCGTAATGCTCAAGGCCTTCATTTTGTGCACTATCACTCCATGATCGCATTTGTCAAATGCCTTTGCAAAATCTGTGTAAATCACATCTGAGTTTTGGTCGTCTTCCAATGCCTCCATAATTCTGTCATAATGGTTCAGCAGCTGTGGCAGGCATTATCGTCCTGCTCTAAAACCATGCTGGTTCGAGTTATGTTGGTTTTGCTGCTCCATGAAATTTGTTATCTGCCTAAAGAACTAAAGAACAATTTGGGAATGACATCAGAGACTGCTACCTCAATCACAAACAAGGGGACTGTAGGGAACAAAGGAGTGAAAGTACATGCAGAAGCTCTATCAGACCATTGTGAAGCCCGAGAAAGAGAAAGAATCACATCAGGAGCAATCGAGGGGACTGTAGAAAATGAAAGAGCTAAGCTATATGTGGAGGCCCTAACAGACCACAGCAGAGCCCAGGGAAATCTGAGAGGGGAAAATGACAGGCCACTGGGCCCAAGGACAACAGATAGTGAAGAAACTGAAGAAAGGAAAGCTGCAATGGAGGAAATTAATCGAATCAGTGGATACATAGGAATATGCAGTGGGAGAATGAAAGGGAGAGGTCAGTCTTTGTTTATGGGCTCCAGGAGGTTGAACGGAAAATTTACGAAGCAAGAAGACAAGGGGAGAAAAATGCAATTGAAAGCATCTTAAAATAGAAGATGACATGGCCCAGCTGGCAAATTTTCAGAGAATAGGGGGCTTTGCAAGAAGAAGAACCCATCCAGTCAAAGTTACTTTCAAGACAGAATCGACTCGGAACAGGATCCTGCAGGAGAAAGCAAGACTAAGGGACATGCTGGCGTACCAGAAGGTGTATCTCAACTGCGACAGAACACAAGAAAGGCAGAAACTGAGAGAGATGGTACAAAGACGAAAGGAGGAAAGAGAGGTGAAGATGGAGATGGACAGGAGAACCCAGATTCAGGAGGAAGATCAAATACAGCCTCCCTCACAACCACCTAAAGAAGCCCCCAACCAGGACAACCCCAATGCAACCAAACATTCTAACCCAAAGGTGTAGGGAGGCAAAAACTAGGTGTACTAAAGAATGGACAAAGTACAGAAGACAAAGGACCCAGAAAAATAAAGTGATCAGCCAAAGAGCCAGAAACGAACACGCACAGATAAGAAGGGAGGCTCAGCGACAATACGAAAATGACATAGCATTGAAAGTCAAGTCGGACCCAAAGCTGTTGTACAGCCACATCAGGAGGAAAGCAACAGTCAAGGACCTGGTAGTCAGACTGAGGAAGGATGATGAGTTCACAAGCAATGACCAAGAGGTATGCAAGGAGCTTAACATGAGATTTAAAGAAGTATTTACAGTGGAAACAGGTAGGACTCCAGGAAATCAGAACAGGAAGGTACACCAACAAGTGCTGGATGAGGTACACATAACCGAGGAGGAGGTGAAGAAGCTGCTATGTGAACTTGATACCTCAAAGGCGGTGGGACCAGACATCTCTCCATGGGTCCTTAGAGAGGGAGCAGAGATGCTGTGTGTGCCACTAACAAAGATCTTCAATACATCCATTGAAACTGGGCAACTACCTGAGGTATGGAAGATGGCAAATGTAGTCCCAATTTTTAAAAAAAGGAGAAAGACACGAGGCATTAAACTACAGACCTGTGTCACTAACGTGTATAGTATGCAAAGTCATGGAGAAGATCATCAGAAGAATGGTGGAGCACCTGGAAAGAAACAAGTGTATAATCGACAACCAGCCCAGTTTCAGGGAAGGAAAATCCTGTGTCACAAACCTACTGGAGCTTTATGACAAGGTGACAGAAGTAAGATGAGAAAGAGAGGGGTGGATCAACTGCATTTTCTTGGACTGCAAGAAGGCCTTCGACACAGTTCCTCACAAGAGGTTAATGCAAAAGCCAGAGGATCAGGCACACATAACAGGAAAGGCACTACAATGGATCAGAGAATACCTGACAGGGAGACAACAACGAGTCATGGTATGTGACGAGGTGTCAGAGTGGGCGCCTGTGACAAATGGAGTTCCACAGGGGTCAGTCCTAGGACCTCTGCTGTTTTTGGTATATGTGAATGACATAACAGATAGGATAGACTCAGAAGTGCTCTTGTTTGCAGACAATG